TCCAGTGAAATATATTTATGTTTGTGGTTGTAATGTGACAAAATATGGAAAAGTTCAAGGGGTATGAATACTTTTGCAAACCACTGTATGTTCAGTCAAAAATGTCATGAGGTAAATTAGAGACATTCTTCATTCACAGTCAGGAGAGGGCTGAGGTTTAAATTCAGCCTGAGAGTTTGGCTTGGAGGCCTTAAATCTGATTGCATCCATCGTGCAATCAGATTTAAGGCAAGTTAAACCATAATTTTATCATGAATACTTGATTTTTTAACACAATTACTTGATTTGCAGTATAAAAACACAGTTTTTTTCTATAATCAAAATCACTGTGTGTAGCCCACCTCTTCAATGATAAAAAAAAGATGCAAATCAGTTTATAAAATTTTTATTTTTAAATGAATTGGATAAATGAATTTAAAAAAGTGTATTTCGACAAATCACCTCCTCATACTGCGACGTAATGTGTTAATCTGTGAAAGGAAATGATCTTTCCACTAGTTGACAGTAAAGTGCTGACATGTCTCATTTATACTAGAATATTTTCTGGGAAACGGAGACAAACTTGCTCTTATGTTTAGCTTCCGCTAAATTTTATTGAGCATATTCACTTTTGGACTTGCGGACCTAAATAATTTGACTAGCGCTTTAGAAATTGCGCAACTAAATTTTGAAGTAGCGCTGCCCACCACTGAAGAATTATTTCAATAGACCTTATAGTTTTAATACAGTCGCTGGTTGTATGAAATAAACTTTCTAAATTGACAAGAGTGTGTAAGGATGCAGCAGCTCTAGGCTCCTTGACTCAGTGCTTTTTATTTCATTTTTTATTATTCATTGTGTGTGCACGAGTGTCATATACTCAAGCCCACTTTAGAACTATCTGGATTATTTGTCATTTGGAGATTGGAGATTACGAGCGGGGTTCACGAATGAGGGAAGAATGGAGCAGGAGATTGGCAGGCAGATTGGTGCTGCTTCTGCTGTGTTGCGAGCGCTGTACCGGTCTGTGTTGTTGAAGCGGGAGCTGAGCCAGAAGGCAAAGCTCTCAGTTTACCAGTCGGTCTACGTTCCTACCCTCATCTCTGGTAACGAACTTTGGGTAGTGACCGAAAGTACGAGATCGGGGATACAGGCGGCTGAAATGAGTTTCCTTCGCAGGGTGTCTGGGCTCTCCCTTAGAGATAGGGTGAGAAACTCGGCCATCCGGGAGGGACTGACAGTAGAGCCGCTGCTCCTCCACGTCGAGAGGAGCCCCCTGAGGTGGCTTGGGCATCTGGTTAGGATGCCTCCTGGACGCCTTCCTGGTGAGGTGTTCCGGATATGTCCCATTGGGAGGATGCCCAGAGGGAGACCCAGGACACACTGGAGGGACTATGTTTCTCGGCTGGCCTGGGAACGCCTTGGGATTCCCCCGGACGAGCTGGCCCAAGTGGCTGGGGAGAGGGAAGTCTGGGCCTCTCTGCTTAGGCTGCTGCCCCCGTGACCTGATCCCAGATAAGCGGCAGAAAACGGACGGACGGACGGTCTCTCTTTAATGGCAGATGAAATAAAGAAAATGGCTTTGCTTTGTTTACTGAAAGCAAGCAAATGTTGCGCTCACCAGATATTTTATTCACTAGATAATTTAGAGGCAGTCTGTTCGGTGAGTTTAACCACTCCAGGAGCTGCGAGCTGACAAACTATTTTTGTCCCGAGCCCAGTTTAACACCACGGTCATTTTAATGAGCCTCATTGGTGCTCACCAACTACAGAAGGTCGATTTCAGCTTAAGAGCTCCTGTCCTCTGTAAGTCTTTCAGGTTAGTGGACAACAGTCAGGAAACCATCACATGGAAAAATAATTCTGTCTGATTGGTTGAGGCGGCACTTCGAGCAGCAAAAGTTCAGATTTTTTAACTCAAGCGTCGGCTGCTTTAGACACACTGCATGCACATCAAATGCTCAAACCACACCTACCACTTCAGTGTGCGCCATGCTGAGTGCTCTAGATGCGCATCCACAATAGACTTTGCATGTAAACCGGCCACTGCTGCTGCTCAAAACATGTTCGGCGTGAACCCAGCTTGAGTTTATTTTACCTTCAGCTCATCGCTTCACTCCAAAAATAAAATGAGAATCTGTCAAGAGGAAAGATTAAGTGTACTGAACTATGTCAGATGGCACAAGAACTTCAGAATCACACACACTAACACAAGTAGCATGTGTGTTTACTTCCTCAAACAAAGCACGCTGCGTGTGACATGAATTCTTCTGTGCATAATGGGACGCCGTTAAGGCCTCTGGCACCCGCTAGGGGAAGTTCACCCCACAGTTTGAAAATCCCTGGCCTAAATGTCTGATTTAGTAAATGGATTTAGATATAGGATTTTGGTTCATTCTCCATTCATGTCTATGCTGAGATAACCTGCATCTGTTATAGTAGGATCTAATTTACTTGTCTGATAATGGCTGTGATCGACTCGGTTGTCCCCTAACATTTGTTTTTCTTTCTTCATTTCCCAGAACGAGTATATGAAGGATGACTTTATGATAAAGATCGAGACATGGCACAAACCTGACATGGGAACAGTAGAAAATGTAAGTGAGCTTAGGGGGCAAAGTGTAGGTGTGTTTTTGTAAAGAAATATTTCAAATATACAGTGGTGTGAAAAACTGTTTGCCCCCTTCCTGATTTCTTATTTTTTTATGTTTGTTGTCACACTTAAATGTTTCAGACAAATTTAAATACCAGATTAAGATAACACAAGTAAATACAAAATGCAGTTATTATTGAAGATATTTTCATATTAAGGGAAGAATAAATTCTATTTAATTTAAAAACTACTTTATTGATCCCAAAGATCCAACATTAAATGTTGTAGTAACTCTAGTAAACTGTTGTAGTAAGTAGCGTTCCTGGATTGCGATGTCTCGGTTTCGGATGAAGGGACGGTTGGAAACAGGCGTATATCGTAAGCCCACCCACACAGACCAGTATTTGCGTTTTGACTCCCACCACCCACTGGAACACAAGTTAGGAGTGATCAGGACTCTGCACCACAGAGCAGACGGTGTCCCTACAAACCCAGGAGCCAGGCAGAAAGAGAAATCACACACACGACAGGCCCTGGAGCAGTGTGGTTATCCTGAC